AAAAAGAAAAAACAAACCAAACAAAAGCAAAACAACCCCCCCCAAAAACAAGGGATAGTCGGGGGGAGATTGGGGGGGTGTTTGCTTTTTTTTTGGGGGGGGGGGGGGGGGGGGTTAATCGTTATACGATCATATTCTTTTTTCTTATTATATCTCATTGAAAAAATCCATTGAACTCAAATTAAAAAATTATATCGATTCATTCTACCGAACCAAAAAAATCTGTAACCGAACCAAACGTAACCGAACCGGTCCTATCTCTGATGTATCACAAGTAGCATTCAGCATCGATGTTGTTTCATTTAATTTTTTTATATACTAGATTAGTAAAACATAAGCACGAGAAAATTCAACACAAAGAGCAATGACATTTTAAAATGATTTACGATGCAACTCGAAAAAAAGAGGTTCTACATCTGTACAAAGTCTTACAAACTTCTCTCGTAAATACACGAAGGATTGATCATCATCGAGCCGTAACGATTTCGTATTTACGTGCGAAACTTCTTTAAAGTTCAAGATCAATCGAGCATGTGAAATGTTTGCTGGCGATAACGAAACCTTTCAAAAACTTTAATACCAAAATGAAGATTAAACATCAGAGGTTCGGTACCGCATGGGAACCTTTCAAGATTCCGTACAATTATAAGATGTTTTTGGAGTTTTTCAATAAACTTCTTAGAATATGATTATTATAGTCGTCTGGTGTAATTTGGATCACTGCTCAAGAAAATCGATTTATCTCAGTCATTGCTCAACTATTTTTGGTCGGACGAAAAAGATTTTTTCACCAACAGATAGCCAAAAGTGTTTTCTACAAGTCTATATTAAAATCCAAAAAAAAATATTAATTTTTTATAGAATTATTATAAAAATGGTGAGAGCCCTGATAAAATGATCCGAATTACACCAGTTGAGGTAATTCGGATCAACAAGCAAAATGTGCTGGGGTACTTCGAATCATTTCAGCAATTTTAGCTGGAGAGAATTTTGAAAACCTTTAGCACTTTTCAAGTATGTTTTCAAGTGTTGTTTATCAGACAAAAAATGTTCGTCTCATTTTGCTCTATCTTTCCATGTAAAATGAGACAAAAATAAATTGATTTGATCGATTATTATTCAAAATAATGAAACATCAAAAAAAGAACACTTTTTTCAACTCACCCTTCTTAGCTTAAGCCCCCCACCCCCCTTCTTTAGAAAAGTCAATTTTGCACAAATTTATCGATTTTGTGATTTATAGCTCGTTAGATAGAGCAATGTGTTTACTCTCCAATGCAACAAAGTTGATTGGTTTTATGATGAGATTTAAGGATATTGCATAGGTTTTTCTGAACCTCCGTATTGAAAAAATAAGGTTTTTACAAATTTATTTTTCATTTTTCTCAAAATCAATTTTTTCGAGCATGCCGCTTACGCGGGCAGGCTTTTCTTCATAACGACTCGATATGGAATTGATAATTTTTTTTATTGTATAGAGGATAGTTAGGGCTAGATCCTCACAGAGCTCGATTTTTGAATTTCTCTGTTCTTGAAATAAAAAACTTACATATTTCATTTTTATCAGCGATTTTTTTGGCCATGAATTCGAGAATTTTTCGGAAAAGATTTTTTTGAAAAACAAACAAAGGAAATTTCACAAATCGGGCTCTGTGAGGATCTAGCCCTAAGGATACTCTACAAATTAAAAAACACGTCGGAACGTTAGGGTGTGGGTGTGGGTGTGGGCGTAAATGAAGAGAACACAATCACCCACATCCACACCCACACCCGCATGGTGTTCCACAAATCGAAGTCACTTTCGATATTGATGCTAATGGTATTCTCAATGTATCGGCTGTAGACAAATCGACAGGTCATAGAAACACGATTAAAATTACAAACGACAATGGACGCTTGTCACAAGATGAAATCAACCGAATGATTTCCAATGCAAAGAAGTATGAGAAAGAAGATGAAGCACAACGTGATCGTATTTCAGCGAAGAATTCACTTGAATCCTATTGCTTCAATATGGAGGCAACTTTGAATGATAATAAAGTAAGTGCGAAGATCTCATCCGATGACAAGTCAACAATAACTGAAACAATCGATGCGGCAGTCAAATGGATGGAATCTAATAATTTGGCCGACAAAGAAGAATTCGAACACAAATTAAAAGAGGTCGAAAAAGTGTACTCTCCAATTATTTCCAAAATTTACGGTAGTGAAGCACATGGGCATGATGCTGGATCTAAATCAAATAGCAACAAGGGACCCATCATGGAAGAAGTCGATTAAACGCCGTAGAGTCTATCGTCCACCAACAAGCGGATATATACTAAGTCGTCGCGTCAGATGCATCTGCACAGTAATGATAAAGAAAAAACTATTTTCAATGTCATCTATGTACTCTGCTTCTCTTTTCTTTTCTTTTAATAACAAATCATCATCGCTGACTCATTCTTTTGTAGTAGACACTCGTACAGCAGCAATAAATTATACTCAATTGGCAATTAGACTATACGCAAAAAGATGTACATCCACAACCTGCTCTACTTGACCAGTCATCGCCATATGAGGATTTTCGCATGACATAGATGTATACGAGGCACTTGACCATCGCACCATCCGGCTTCGAGTTGGAAGAAGACCAAGAGTCGATTCACGATGTTGACCAGCAACAGACTGCTTCTGAGCATCTTCCTCCAATCAGTCAAGCAATTTGCGTGTCAGTTTTCATTTCCATTACTCTACGAAAAACAAATCGGATTAAGTGTGTAAAAATTTCGATGAATCGAGTTGTGCATACTGAACACCATTTGCGCCCAAATAGGTAATTTTGAGTATCCGGACTCGTACAAGAAGAATACCTAATGTGCAACTTGCATAATGGCTACCGAAGGATTTTTGTGCGCTCATATTTCACTAGTGTGCAACTCTATATGTTGACATGCAACGAGTTATCGAAAAGTATTTTGACCAAATTTTGAATGCTGAAAAATATTTGCAAAAGCCATAGGAATACACTTCTTTTGATGTATCTGGTATACGACAATTAGTCGTAGGGTAGAATTGGTCGCAATGTTGAGAAATAAAATTGACAAAAGGTATTATTAGTATCACAAATATATAAAGCAGAAAGGTCCAGAAAGTAACTAACGGCCTATTCAATGGCCAGGGCATCAAATATGAGTATAAATATGAATGCTTAGTAAGTTGTTACATTTGTATACCAAGCGTTACACCAGATCAAGTAGGATCTCCTTTAAAATTTTTGCATAATCCACATCTTTTTTTCTTATTTTGAGGATTCTATCCGTTGTAGTTTTTGCTATTTCATAATGAATATAGTTTTCGTCTTTTCATCACATTTACATTCCATAGAGCATATCTTAATTTCTCACATGCCACCCTTACCCTCATTATTCTTCAGTACCCAAGCAGACAAGAATTTGGAAAAACACGTTTAAGCGCACAAAAAAGATGAAAAATCGAGAAAACTGGGCGTGTTTGGATGACAATCGGGGTTCCCGATTATGAGCGAAAAACGCCCATTTTTCGCCCTTCTTGCGCGCTTAATCGCGTTTTCAGCCCCAAAAGCGCGTGTAAATACATTAAAAATAGAGAAAAATTAGTCTTTTTTTGATACTCAAGAACTCTTATGGTGATCCCATTACAGATAACGACTATGAAAAAAACAACCACTTTTTCTCTTTTTTTTATGCATTTACACGCGTTTTTCGGCTGAAAACGCGATTAAACGCACAAGAAGAGCAAAAAAATGGGCGCTTTTCGCTCACAATCGGGAATCCCAATTTTCATCCAAACACGCCTACTTTTTCTTGATTTTTCGTCTTTTTTTCGGTGCTTAAACGCGTTTTTGTAAAACTTTGTCTGCTTGGGTAGCGAATGTTCTCACGTCAATACTGGCGTCTATTCTGTCATTACCGTTGAAAAAGATTTTACAGGATTCAAAAATGTTTTCTCGGACTACTCATGAGAATAATCTTTCAAATAGGTAGGCGCACACATGCTAAGCATCATCCGAAATAAAAATAAATGGTAAAATTGATGAAGAAAAATTCGACTAGAAATGAAGGTAAATATCGTATAGATAAAAGAAATAAGAAAAAGCAGCTTCGATGAAGAACATAAAATGAAGATGTAGCAAAAAATGATATGTTGAATATTCGTATTTTTTATACGAATGTGCATTGAATTGACGCATGCCTCAGCTCGTGATTTGCAACCGATATTCATCCACTTGGCATTTCAACAAACAGAATTCGTCTAATATTTGGTATGATGCCGGAAAGTTTATCCACACTTTACTCTCGTGTCACAAAAAATATGTTTTTGCCCCTTTCTAACGAAAATCACCTTTTGTTGTAAAGTGTCTACAGGAGAACGAACTCGGCGAAAATAATTGATTTTGGTCTCAAATGAAAGGTCTCGATTAAGTGCAACTATTCTAATAAAAGAATATCGAGCTGAAAACCTAGTTCAAAAATTTTCATTCTAATTTATGCTGTTGATTTCATGAAATTGATAAGTCTGCCAC